ATAAAATCAGGCCCAACAGGTAAAGAGATTAGTAGAGTCCGTTTCAGCCAAATCCCTAAATGCTAAATTAATTCCATTCCAGCCACCGAAGAGCACCTTCACTTTCTGCTTGGCTTCGTCTAGAACAAGGAGGCATTGCGCGTGCGTGTAGGTGTAGAAATATATATTCTCTTTCTCTTTTGTTGAAGAAGGATTCCAAGTTCCAACTCATTCACTGCTATGAGGAGTGTGACTTTAATGATTCCTTTTTTTATAATTTTTTTTTATTTTTTTTATTTGAACATAAAATATATTTTTTTTTTCCATTTTTTTGCAAATTATTTTTTGGGTATGCGGGCTGGCCCGCCGGCCCGCCAACCCATCCTTAGGCGGGGCGGGCCAGCATTTTCAGCCCGTTTTTCATCGGCGGGCCAGCCCATTTTTGGCGGGCCATTGGCGGGGCGGGCCAAAACGGGGCGGGCTGGCCCGTTTTGCCACCCATACCTCTGGCATCATCAACTTCAATTGTCGGCAACCAGTCTGACCCCGATTTCCTCGTCGACTGCTCCATCCTCTCCGTTTGCCAGTCCTCTAGCATCGTCGACTCCGACCGTCGACAACCAATCCGACCCTAATTTTCTCGTCTGTTGTTCCATCCTCTTTGTCTGCCAGCCCTCCGGTATTGTTGACTTCGGCCCCGCAGCAACCAGTCCTTCCCCTTGCAAAACACCGAACTCCTTCTAAAAACCATCTTCACTAGAGACACCAAAACAGAAAACCTCACCTACACGTTTCACCACAACCCCTCCTCCAACAACTCCGCCTATAAAGAGTACTACTACATTTCCCTCCGTAAGGTCATCGTTGGATCCAAGTTCGTTAAGATTCCGACATCAAGGGCTAAGGACATGGAGGTCTAATTTGGGTTGAGTCCCTTGTATCATGTTTCCGACGTTAGGAAGGTCACTTTCCTGGCCTTCATTAGGACTAATTTGCAAAATACAAATTTTTTTTCTTCCAAGTTGTTGGTAATAAATCTATACTGTTTATTATTATATTATTAAATCCAATGATAAAAATTAATGCTTCATCCATGTATCACATTTTTTATTACTTCATGTTAGAATTTTTCTATTTTTTTTGTTAAAATCTTAGGGTTTTTGGAATAGTTTTTGAAAATTTCAAAGAGGCCTTCTAACATGAAGTATCTGAGGTCATGGGTTATCCATGAGGCACCAAAATTACCGGCAATAACAAGTTTTTAACTTGTTTAAAATTGCAAAATAGTTCTTATATTATATGCGGAGGCACTGTGGCAGCGGAGGTGTCGTTTCCTTCCACGATGGTGACAGCGGAGGTGTGACCTCCTTCGTGCGGTAGCAACGGAGGCGCAACCTCCTTCACATGGTGGCAGTGTGGAGGCGCGGGCTCCTTCAAGCAATGGTAGCAGAAGCGCGACTAAGTTCGTGCGGTGGCAGAGGCTCGACCTCCTTCGCGCAGTTGCAGTGCGAAGGCACGAGCTCCTTCGCGCGGAGGCGTAAGCTCCTTCAAGTGGTGGCAGCGGAGGCGTGGGCTCCTCCTACTCGGCGCCACCGGCCTCATGTCCCTCCTCTGCCGCTACCTCCCCCTCCACGTCGTCCGTAGCGTTCAACTCTCTCAGGGTCTCTCCTTCGCCTTCTCCATTGTCAACTACATCTGCAACGATCAAAACCTCGCCACCTCCAAATTCGGCCTTCCCCGCCCCTGGCTCACCCTCAACGGCCTCGCTGTCGCACTCGCCACCGTCGTCTTCCTCGTCCTCACTACGTGCCGGCGACCAAAATAGTAACCCTAAATAGGGACTAATATGCAAAATACAAAAATTTTCTTTTTCAAATTACAGGTAAGAAATCTGAATTTTTAATTATTATATTATTAAATCCAACGGTTAAAAATAGTATTTCATCCATGTACCACATTTTATACTGTATCATGTTAGAATTTTCCAATTTCAAAATAATTTTCTTTGTCTTTCATGTAAGTTAATCACTTGTTAAAACTAGTTCATTGGACTTGCATGTTATTGAGATTAGTTTAAAAGTGATCAATTTAAAAAAATTAACTTAACGAGGATCGACTTATGTAAAATTGACATGGAGATGATCAACTTAATCAAAATCTCTTGAAAATACTTGAGACTTGAACATGTAAATGCAAAAAAATTAAATTGATTTTCACTTATTTAGATCTAATTGAATATGGTTTGAAGAGGATATAGATAGTAAAATGTTTGGAATGAGACTTAATAATAATAATAAAAAAATGAGTAAATAAATAATGAGTGTAAAAGGTGGGGGTGGATGTTGGACGGAGAGACGATGGGGGAGAGGGAGAAAGGAGAGCGATGGAGCGGAGCGATGACAAATCTGACGGAGATGGCTTCGAATCTGGAATCTCTCCAGAAGCTTCTCCTCACCAAAGCCGTATTCGTTGACGACGACACCTTCTCCAAAGCCTCAGTCGCCGCCGACCAAGCCCGCACCATCAACCTTCTCAACCAACGCGTCCACACCTTGGAGAGAGAGGTCGACGCCGCCATCACCGCCGCCGCCCGCGCTCGCTCCGAGAAGCGCCAGGCCGAGGCCGCTCAGAAGGCCGCCGAATCACGCACTCAACAGCTCACAGCCGAACTCGAAAACACCACAAGTAACTATCATCTTTCATTCATATTTCAATTCAAGTTCCGAATACTCCTGATCTGCGATTTGCGAACCTAATCTAATCGTTTCTGAATTTTCTTTTTCGCAGAGGTGTTTGAACTGCACATGGAGGAGCTGCGTACCAAGCAGGAAGAAATCGAGAAGCGTGACGAGGACATCAAGCTTCTTGAAGCTATTATTCGAACACTTGGGGGAAAGGAAGCGCTCCCTACATCGCGGTGAAAGCATTTGTTTTAGGTGTGGTCAAACCCTAACCCTTATTTTGTAAATTGAATTATAATTGTACTAGCAAGTGAAGGATTCTTAAGACTGTAATAAATGTTGTTGTTTCTATGTGAATATTCATTCTCTTTACATGACTGATTTCTCTGATAACAAATTAACAATGAATGGAATAACTGCAAGTAGATTGCAATATTTGTTTTGACATGAAACGCATTTCCTTGACATCACACAGATGTCATAATTGCTTGAGATTTCAGACATCAGGATATGCAGCTTCCGCACTATTGCAGTTAGCAACTTAACTGCATTAAAGGAATGAATATATGTTTTCCAAAATCTTGGGAAAATTTCTTCATATCTTATCTTTTTTACAAGTACAACGGAAAATAAAAACTAAATTTAGATGCTTTTCTGTTTGTTTACTTATTTTTCAATTATAATAGAAGCTTTTCTTTGATAATCTCATGTAATAAAAGGTTTGCATTAAAGGCCAATACAAGTAACGGAAATGAAACTTCATTTTTAATTAGAGAATACTACTAAAAACACCTTAGGAACTGAATCTAAACTTTGTCTTAATCTAAATTCCGTGCGGAGTTTTTAAATTTTTTATCCAATTTCTTCTCATTTGTCTATTTCATTTCTTGCGAGTCAAATATCTTCCTAATATTTTGATCAATTTGTCCACCTCTTTTATCTTGTTTTTTCTTAGTTGGGACAACATTGGAAGCGCTAGTTTTACTGCTTATCGGAAAATATAAGGATGACCGGAGCATGCGTTTCTAGTACGATGTGCCCTTTGAGGTGCTTCTAATGTAGTGAGGAGATTAGTCACTGCTATCGACGGTGATACTCCAGGGATAAACAAAAAAAAATGAATAAATAGTAACTGTTTTTGCGCTATATGGGATTGTTTGTTGTGATCTGTTTGGGACTAAGTTTACTCAAAACTAAATGAATATAAGCACGCAGGTAAGATGTACGCTTAAACTGAGATTCATGAGGGAGAAAACACTCCCTATATTGCCTTTAAACATGGCTAGATGTGGCTGTGGCGTGTAGCAATTAAAAAACTACTGATCTCTCTAACCTTCCGTTCTGTTTGTTCATATGTATCCTGCTGTTTTTTTTGTCTTTTTCACATATATCACTCCTCTACGTGCACTTGAAGCTCGGATCCAAGTATTATGAATGAAAAAAATGTTACATTAAGCAAGGTTTCTTTTCAGAGACTAGTAATTCTAAAATTATTAGATATTTCACATTAATAACATAATTGTAAAATATAAAAATAAAATAACTGAGTGCAGGCAATCCACCTTCTATCCTCTAACCTCAGTTTTTCCATGTTCTCATTCTCCCAGAAAAATAACTATTGTGTGTGTGAACTTCCCTTGTTCCCCCTTTTATAATCGTGGTATGAAATCCTGAGATTATTGGCCCCACAAGAAGCCGACGGATTCCCTATTGGAACTAACTTAAAAAAGCTGATGTTGGTTCATTCAGAAATTGTATTTAAACTACTATTTAATTGTATATAATTATATAATTATTATTGTAGTTAAATCTACCTATAATGTAAATTGTAAAATAAGTTATTAGATGAAATTTTCAAAAACTAAAACCTTGTATATCAGAAGAATGCTATCCATACATTTTTAACGAGTGATTTTTTTTATTCATCAAAATTATAATGATAATGCTAAAATTCGATTAATATTATTCTAATATCCCATTACTAGGTCCACCATTAGAATGCCTTTCAAAATTAGTTCATTTTTTTATTTCTAAAATTTAAAATTAATTTTTAATCTAGAAAATAATTACATATTAGGCATAGAAAATTTGGAGCATGTTTTTGGGGTTGTGGCATGGCCCGAGAGGTATGGAGTTTGATATTACCTAGAGCAAAACTACAACTGTATTTTAACCAGGAGTCTTACTCTTGGTTGCTTTCTAATCTTTGGGATAAATCACTGATTGGAGGTTGGTGTTGGTCTCAAATCTTTGTTGTTGTTTTGGACAAGTTGTGGTATAGTAGGAATGAACTAGTCTTCAATAATGTGGTTGTGTACCCTTCTGTTATTAAATTTCGAGCTACTGCTTCTGTGGATGCTATTATGGGTAACTATTTGAAGGATAATAGGTTTTCTTATGATGATGGTTTGGGTCAGAATGTACACCAGGTTTGCTGGCACCACCCTGCTTCTGGATAATGCTACAATTAATGTAGTGTCTATGAAATAGGCGGTTGGAGGTGTTCTCTGTGATCATCAAGGGGTCATGCTATTCTCGTTTGCCGGAAAAATTGGGTTTTGCTTTGTTTTACATTCAGTTATGGGTTGTTTATATCGGGATTACTATTGCTTAGCAGACAGGGTTCTCACATGTTATTATTGAGTCTGATTCAACAAATACTATATCTCTCCTTCAAAAAGGTTGTACCACTCATCACCCTTGCTTTTCTGGTTCATAGCATTATTTCCTTTTCTACTACAGGTGCTGACTTGCGATGGGAGCATGTGAGGAGAGAGGCAAACAAAGTTGCTGATAAGTTAAATAGATTTGACATGTCAATGAATGACAATTTTCGAATTTTTAATGTTATTTTACCTTTCTTTGCATTCCTTATACAGGTTGAGTTCCCTTCTTTTTCTTCCCCTTGTGATTTTAATTGATCCTTGTTGGGATTTTCCCCTTCAATTTACCCCCCCCCCCCCC